TTAACATTAATCATATCTGTATAATAACCCAACTATCTGGCATAGCCGCATCACATAGGCCAATTACCATGTGCTTAGTTTTTAGGTTTACCCTCCCACCTTTTTGCCCCTTCTTTTGTCTATGTCATTTCTTTCACATGCTCACTAACACGTGTTTGTTTCTGTCCAAAATCCACTCACATTTCTCTCCTCTTTCATTTCAATTTCAATTATTATCATACTAGTATTATTCTATTATCTACCTATGATGAATTATGTGAAATGCAAGATCCAATCTCTTCCCCATTATTACTAGTTTTTTTATTTGATTAACTAAATAAAAAGAAGTTAAAAAACCAACCCATTGCCTCATTGTACTTTTTCTCTTTTCTTTATTTCTGACCATAGTAGATCACATTATTCATCGTCATACCGAAATTAACAGCTCAATAGAGTTTCATTGCCCAAAATCATACCTCAATCATAACTTCCATCATTCAAAATCAAATCAAACCCCCTTTATGTTCTTCTACATTAAATCACAAATTTCGTTTCTCTTTTCGTGTTCCCAATAAAATATGGCTAATTTCACATGTTAATTTAATTATTATTCTCTATAAGTTTTGTAACAATTCATTTTCATTTTCCCCTTTTTGCTTTAACCCACAACAACCTTCAATAATTGATTTCTCACCAATGCATGATAAAGATTGCAAAATCAAAAATTTCCTTCAACCCATTTAAATTCTCCATCTCAATTTCACGCAGCATCTCTCACATTGTTCGGAATTCAAGAATTTCTCCATGACCGAGATCTAGGGTTTCTTAACCCTGTTCTTCCCTCATTGTTCCCTTTCACGGTTCTTCTTCAACAAATCCACGTTTTTCGTGTTGGATTGATTTTTTCCTTCATGGGTTCCTTCTAAAGATTCAAAATTGATCGATTTCACCTTCTGGGTCACCATGCTCAAGCAAATCCTGAGTAAACTTCCTCGGAAAACATCCAAGACCGACTCGGACGAGTCTTGCCGAGGTGACTCGTCCTGCCGTAACGATTCGCCTCGTGCCGGGAAAAGCAGCAAGTCACACGGCGGCAATGATGGTGCCAAAACCAATGCAGCGAAAAGGAATTCATCTGCGGCTGTTTTTCCGACAAGCACCGTGTCGTTGATAGAACCGTTGGTGCCGTTTAAGGATGTTGCGGGTTCTGAGAAGATGAACCTTTTTGTGAGCAAGTTGAGTCTTTGTTGTGTTGCGTTTGATTTCACCGATCCTGGTAAGAACATTGTGGAGAAAGATGTAAAAAGAAGAACTTTGATTGAACTTGTTGATTTTGTTTCTTCTTTTGGGTCTGCAAGGTTTAGTGAGCCTGCTATTCTTGCAATGTGTAGAATGTGTGCTATTAATCTCTTTCGTGTTTTCCCGCCGAATTATCGAGCCAATAATCGAGGCGGTGGTGGTGGTGAGAATGACGATGACGAACCGTCTTTTGATCCTGCTTGGCCTCATCTTCACCTTATTTATGAATTGTTGCTTAAATTTATAACATCTTCTTGCCTTGATGCTAAGGTTGCGAAAAAGTATTTCGACCATTCGTTCATTTCAAAATTGTTGGAGTTGTTTGATTCGGAGGATCCTCGAGAAAGGGATTGTTTAAAGACAATAATGCATAGGGTTTACGGAAAATTCATGGTTCATAGACCTTACATTCGGAAATCGTTTAACAATGTGTTTCATAGGTTTGTGTTTGAGACCGAGAAGCATAATGGGATTGCTGAGTTGTTGGAGATTTTTGGGAGCGTAGTAAGTGGATTTGCTTTGCCATTGAAAGAGGAACACAAGATCTTCTTGTGGAGAATTTTGATCCCTTTGCACAAGCCTAGATCTATGGGGGCTTACTTCCAACAACTGTCTTACTGTGTTACACAGTTTATAGAGAAAGAGCCTAAGTTGGCAAGCATTGTGATAAGGGGTTTGTTGAAATATTGGCCAATAACACATAGTCAGAAAGAGGTGATGTTCCTTGGTGAATTGGAAGAAATTTTGGAAACAATTAACATGGTTGAGTTCCAAAGGGTCATGGTACCATTGTTTTGGCGAATTGGATGCTGCATTAGCAGTTTACATTTTCAGGTAATCTTACTCTGAACTGAATCCATTTGCTAAAAAATCCTCTTTTTATGTATATTCCTATTCCAATGTTGTATTTATTATAGGAAAAATGGATCCATGCTCTAAATCTTTTGTTAGCTCGAAGTCACTGATAGGGTGTGAAAGTAGTTTGTATAGATTTTTTTGTTTCTTTGGAGCCGTCTATATTTTCTACGCGCGTGTTTGATTTTGACGTGATTGAATGTTTTTGAGTAGAATTGATCCTGCCTCTGGAATTAGAATTGATTGTAATGTGTGAAGCCTTTTCCTCTAGTCGGGATCAATTCGTTCAGAATAAATTTTTGTCACCATAGAACTAAACACGCACTACATGTATCTCTTTTATTGGTAGTTTTCAATGGTTTCCTTTGACTTGCTTGTTAATTTCTAAAAGCTACCCTTTTTAAAGTTCAACCTGAATTGTTTCAGGTATCCGAAAGAGCCCTTTACTTATGGAACAATGACCACATCGTCAATTTGATTGCCCACAACCGTCAGGTGATACTACCTATCATAATTCCAGCACTTGAGAGAAACTGTCAGAGCCACTGGAACCCGGCAGTGCTCAACTTAACTCATAATGTTAGAAAGATGTTCATGGAGATGGATGAGAGTCTGTTCCTTTCTTGTCGTTCTCATTTTAAGGAGGAAGAAGCAATGCTAAACTTAGAATCTGAGAAACGGAAAGAAGCTTGGAAACAATTAGAACACGCAGCCAATCTCAAACTTACAATCGGAAACACTGCGGTTTTAGTGTCTTCGATTTTATAACCAGAATTTGTGCATGTATATGAGTATGATACTCCTTCAAATCACAAGAAATGTGGTAAATGGTTGTTACTGGAAGCAGATTTGGTGCTTCTTCTGGCAGCCAAATGTCGTAAACATTGTAACATGTTTTTGATTGTTGACTGTGTGGTAGAAACCTGCCTCCTCAAGATAAGTTATGATGGGAAGGACCATGCAGTCGATTAATCAAACAATTTTCTGTATAAGCTTTTTTTCAAAATCTGTAGTAGTGCATATGATCTTCTTACCTTTTGTCTCAATTTCAAAACAATGTGAACAATGAACTTTAAACATGATTAACTACTACTTTCATTTACTGATATGCATATTTGATAACACTAATTTACCAAAAAATGTTTTTGAATATGCATATTTGTAAATTGCTCTGTTGTATTTTTTTTTTATAAATTTAGTATTTAGCCTGCAGACTTAATAGACATGCATAGTAATGCAGTAAATATGTAAATACTAAAACAATTGAAAAATAAAAAATGGCAAAAATAAAATTTGAAAATACAACTATAAATAAAATCAACTTAAAAGTCTATAATTTTTTTTTGGATTTTTTTAGAAATATGAAAACAGAAAATAAATTAATTAAAAGTAAAAATAAGGAATTTAAGGTTCTTAGGATTTTTTATTTATAAAATGACACTGTAAAATTTTGATTCATAGTCAATTTTTCAGAAAATTGAGTTTTTACGCTAGGCCCGTAAAGGCCGGAAACGCAAGAACGCAAAGTTTAGAACGCAATGATACAATTTCTATAACTTTAATATTGGTTAAAATCGATAAATAGTTTTCGAAAATGATGTCAATTTCAATGAAAAACATGTAGTAAATAGAGTCAAGAGTATTTTTGGAGATAAATCTTCCGACAATTTTTTGGTAAAAACAAATTAAAGATATGTTTAGAGATGCATTTTTAAAAAAATTTAAAAACATTTTCAAATTTTCAGAGGTGTAAATCTCACCATAAAAATAATAAAAGAAATTACCCTAATACGCCTTTCTTTTACATTGTTGTTTAACACTATCTTTATAAATAAAATAAAAATATATTTTAAAAAAATAAATAGGTTGCATTGCACAACGTATTTTTTTTCCAACCCAAATGTTTGGAAAATGTTGTTGAGATAATGTTTTTTTTTATAAAAGATAATTACATCAAATCAACCATTCAATGATTTATTTAGCTTAAATATATGTTTTATATCTTTAAGTTGGTGTTTTTTTCCTTGTATTTTTTTTAAAATTTTTTTTTAATATTGATATTCATTTGATTTTCCTTCCTGACGTTAATTTTCCGTTAACAGAAGACAATGTGGCAAATGATGCCGATGAGACTTTATTTTGTTTAGTTCTAATTATAGATGTGGCTTTGCTTTATTGTTCCTCTCAAAAATCTCCATTTAGTTTTTTACATATAGTTCTTCTTACCAGGGTCGAAAAATACGAAATTCAAAGGGAGGCGGTAGTTGTAGACGAAGGGAGCTTGTGATCGAGGTAGAAGAAGACATACCTCATTCGACTTAGGTAGGTGATTGAGGAAGAGGGAAAGAACACACACTTCATCTATTATTAAAGTTCGACATTCGTTCGACAATGGTAGGTGAAGGGAGCTTGTGACTGAGGTAAAGTTGGTTCCTTTCATCCGTATTTGATGTTTGTTCTTCAAAATCATAGGTGAAATTTTTAGAGATGAGTTTTAGTTTGAATTTTTATTATGGGGGTAGATTTGTTAGGGACTGTGCATTCTATTACAAAAGGGGGGCATGAACATACAGTAGATGACATTGATCCTGATAAGTGAAGCTTCTTTGAAGTTACTGGTATATTGAAAGAAATTAATGATCTTGATCATTCAAAATATAGATTATGGTGGTATAAAAATGATGAAGATAAATACAAGAGAATGATCAATGATAAAGATGCTGACGAGGTTTATAAATAGGCCATTGAAATAAAATGTATAGTGAATTTATATGTTGATCATTTTGTGAAAGGCATAGTTAGAATAAATGTTGAAGAAGATGAAAAATATGATCAGGTAAATAATGTGGAAGAAGAAGAGCAAGGTGATGGTGGAATTAATGTTGAAGAAGATGAACACTTCAAAGTATAGCTTATGGTGGTATAAAAATGATGAGGACAAATACAAGAGAATGGTGAATGATAAAAATGTTGATGAGATTTATAAATATGCCATTGAAACAAAATGTGTAATGAATTTATATGTTGATCATTTTATGAAAGACATAATTAGAATAAATGTTGAAGAAGATGAAAAAGGTGATGGTGTAAATAATGTGGAAGAAGAAGAACAAGGTGATGGTGAAATTAATGTTGAAGAAGATGAACAAGATAATGGTGGAGTTAATGTTGAAAAAAACGAACAAGATTGTGTTGAAGTTAATGTTGAAGAAGATGAACAATGTGATGATGGAAATGTGGTAGAAGATGAACATGTGATGGTGGAATAAATATTGAAGAAGATGAACAAGGTGATGGTGGAATTAATGTTGAAGAAGATGAACAAAGTGATGTAAGTGATTATGAAGCTACTGGTATAACATTTGATGATAATGAGAAAGATATGGCTCTTGTGTTGGATGATGGTTTTGACATAAATGATAAAGAAGGTGATGGCAATGGCAAAAAAGGTAGGGTAAAATGTGTTACAAAGAAGCACAAGCACACTCCAAAAAAATATGTGAATGGTGTTGATAATATAGGTTCATCTAGTTGTGTAGACAATAATATGGAGATTAACTATGCTAGTGATGATCTTGGTAGCAAGGACCCTAATGATTTAGATAATGAGAAGGTTGGAACAAAGATAATGAGAAGGTTGTAGAAGTGACCCTATAATTGATAGTATTTCTGGAATTGATCCCTGTAATTGTACAAATTGAAAAATGTTAATCATGTTCTTACTGATTTGCAAGGACTAATCCCTGTATTTGAGGAAATGTTTGAGAGGTTGGAGCACAAACTCTGTCTTAGACATTTATATGCTAATTTCAAAAAGAAGTTTGGGGGAGGCACACATATTATGGACTTAATGATGGAAGTTGCTAAAACAACATATATTCAAGCTTGGGATGCTAAGATGAAATAATTGAAGGCTATTAATGTGAAGGCTTAGGAGTGGTTGTCCAAAATACCTACTAAAGCATGGTGTAAGCATGCATTTTCTTTATATCCCAAATACCTACTAAAGCATGGAGTAAGCATGCCTTTCCTATGGAATGTGAGAGTAGCTCATATCCACATGGATCATTTGAACAAGTTGGTCCACAAGGATTTAGTACTCGATTTTCCAAATTGTGTTTTGAAAAGCATGTATTATATGATGCGTGTCAAAAGAGAAAACAAGTAAAGACCTCTTTTAAATCTAAAAATATTTCTACAAATAGGCCTTTTATTGAATATGGATTTTTTGGGCCATCAAAAACCAATTATTTTTGTGGGAATCAATAGTTTTGGATGAATATATTTTTACTATACATGGATGTTTTTCTTATCTAATAAAATATACGGGTTTGATGCCTTTTAGAATTAGCCAAGGTTATTTAGATCGAGAAAAGGTTAAACATTGTATCTATCTGAAGTGATCATCATGGTGAATTCCAAAATGTGGACTTCGAGAACTATTGTAACTAGAATGGAGTTAAGAATAATTTTCTACTCCATGAACATCTCAACAAAATAAGGTCGTGGAATTAAAAAATAAGTCTCTTGAAGATCTAGAAAAGACGATACTCAATGAGACTAACCTAAGTACTTTTGGGATGATGCAGTAAGCACTATTTACTATGTGATAAACTGTATACTGATAAGACTAATTCTAAAGCAGACACCCTAAGAGTTATATAAAGGAAAGAAGCCTAATGTTTATCACCTTCATGTGTTCAAATGCAAATTTTTTGTTCTCAATTACGGGAAGAATAATCTTGAAACATCTGACGCTAAAGCTAATGAAGGTTTATTTTTAGGATGATACACTTTTGGTAAAGCTTTAGAATCTTCAATAAAAAGATTGTCTACATAAGAATAATCTCATGTTACATTTGATGATTCTAACCCAAATTCTCAAGATGTATATATGATTGATTGTGCATGTATCTTGGAGAAAACATTTGTAGAAGACAAGGATCAAGAGAAAGATCAAGAAAAATATTGAGGTCAAAGAACATCATATAAATGAAGAATCAAATGTTGATCATCAAGATATTCCCATTGAATAGAGGATCACCATAGATCATCCATTCCAAGATGTCATTGGAGATATTTATAAGGGGTCATAAATCAACATTCCTTAACCTGATATGTGACCTTATGACATTTGCTACCCAAATTGAACCAAAAGACGTCAATAAAGCTCTCATTGACGAACATAGGTCTCTTTCTATAGAATAAGAGTTAAATAAATTTGAAAGAAACAATGTTTGAGAAATTTTTACCAATCCTTCATCTAAGATAGTGATTGGATCCAAATGGGTGTTTTATAACAAGATTGAGGAAGATGCAAATGTTTTAAAAAACAAAGCAAGCCTCATTGAAAAAGGGTACAATAAATAGAAAGACATGAAATTTAATGAAACCTATAACCTCGTAGTTAGATTAGAGGACATAGGGAATCTTTTAGATTTCTCATGATTTTTGAATGTTAAACTCTTCCAAATGGATGTAAAGAGCACATTCTTGAACGCTTACATCCAAAAGGAAGTGTATGTTGATCAAACTCGGGTTTTTAAATTCTTCTTTTCTTGATCATGTCTTCAAGCTGAAAAATGCTATCTACAATTTTAAACAATCCCCTTGGGCTTGGCATGAATGTCTGAAAAAGTTTTAGCTTGAGAACAATTTTCAAATATGGATGGTAGATAGAACTCTCTTTAATAAGAAAATTGAGCAAGTTAATTAGGAAGTGTTTTTAATCAATTAGGAAAGCTAACCCACTTCCAATCGATTAAAACTTTGGTAAAATATATTAAATTAAATAGAAACTCATTATATTCAATTAGAAAACCATTAATTGATTAAAGCATATAATTGTTTTAGGGTTTTCTTTTTCTAGATTAAGGTTGTTTTAATCGATTAACTCATTTATTTGACCAATAGATTATTTATTTTTAGATACAAATGTTTGTTTATATAAAGGCGGCTTCTCCTCATTTCATTTTACACCATATTTTTTAATATAAACCTTTATGATGTATTTCTACTCTCTTTCCTTTTGAAACTCTTTTTTTGACTATAGTTGTCGTAGTGTCGAAAGACTAGAAAGTCCTTTTAAGAGTTGTGTTGTACTGGTAATATGCTTAATCTATTTTGTTTAAGAGTGTGATTCTATTTTGTAATATCTTTGTAAAGGATTTTAAGGTTTCAAGATAAACCTGAAAAAGCCTGGTGAAGGCTCTTGTGGACGATCTTGTGTAGAAGCTCCAAGTATCTTTGAAGGTTGTTTGGGTTGATCCTGTAAAAGTTCAAGTTTGATTTTTGTGAATCTCCCAAGAGGAAACTCTTGGTGATAGGGGAAGTTCAAGTGGTTAGGCCGGTCTTGTATAAATCTCTGATGCAATCTCTTTATCTCTTTTCTCCTTATTTTCCGTTATATTTTTTTCTGCTACATATCTCTCTTCTCTCTTCTTTTTCATCTTAGTGAGAGGGAGAAAAGTGAATTGTGATATTAATTTTTTTTATTAATTTATAAAATGTAGGTGTTTAGGTATTGGCTTGCATTTTTGGTAAATCTCAAGTGTATGTGTGAATGTCATGACTGATGTCATAACATTCTAGTTCAGGTTGTACTAACTCAATAGGTACATGTGCAGAAAAATATTGTAATTCAAATACTGATGTTTATAAGTGTGTATCTGAGCATGTTTGCAAAATGATCACATTTTGCTAAATCAGTAGACAGGTTTTCTCAGATGTCATAACAGATGTTATGACATCCTGTTCTGAACTAACAGGATTGCAGGATTGGATAAGTCTGAGTTTTTTCAGGAAATAACTCAGTCCCTTCTAAACAGAATCCTGCGTTTTCTGAGGAGTAACCTAGCTCAATCCTAACCTGATCAATAAAGTACTGTGACCTGGTCTTTAGGTCAAACGGAATCAACCCTAGGTTTTTGGAAACCCTAACTGAAGTTGCAGCTGCTATATATTCAACAGAGCTGCGGTTTTTCAAGTAACCCCTGCTGATTGATTAGAAGATCAATTTTGTAATCTGTATAGATTTGTTTATTGTACTCCAAGCAATTATCATTGTGATAAGTGCCTTGGAATAGGTTTCAATTGTAAGGGTTGTGTAGCACTCAAAGCTTTGAAGCAAGAGTGTTTGAATGTTACTTGACTAAAGCTGTGAAGCAGAGTCAAGTTAGTTGTGTACATCACTCAAAGCTGTGAAGCACGAGTGATTGTGTTACTTGATTAAAAAGCTGTGAAGCTTAATCAAGTGTGTGTTTTGAAGAGTGTCTTCATCAATTCTTAAGTCAGATTGGTTTATGTATCACTGCTGTGATTGAGGGGGAGTGAGTAGGAACTCAGGTTTAAGTTGTACTTAGATTAGAATTGCATTGGGTAGGTCTTAAGTGAAGGAGATAAACTGGTTGGTTTATTCCTGAATTAACATCTCTTATAGTGGATTCTCTCCCTGGCTTGGTAGCCCCCAGAGTAGGTGTTGTTGCACACTGAACTGGGTAAACAATTGACTGTGTTATTTACTGCTTTTGTATTTACTGTCATATAGTAAGTCAGATACGGTGTCATAACATTGGACGTGACATTGAGTATCTGTAGCCAGAATTTCAATTGGTATCAGAGCAGGCACCCTGCCTGTATTACTGGGTGAGATCTAGGGATATCACTTTCTGGCACTATGGACAAAGAAGGAGTTTTTGGAAATAGACCACCCATTCTGGATGGAACTAATTATGACTACTGGAAACCTCGTATGATTGCCTTCCTAAAATCTCTGGACAAAAAGGCTTGGAGAGCTGCTGACAAAGGATGGATTCATCCCACCATAACTGAGGAAGATGGGACAATCAGTCTGAAACCTGAAGAAGATTGGAGTAAAGAAGAAGATGAGCTAGCCCTGGGAAATTCCAAAGCTCTAAATGCCTTGTTCAATGGAATTGATAGAAACATTTTCAGATTAGTTCATCAATATGAACTGGCCAAGGAAGTTTGGGACACTCTCAAAACTACTCATGAGGGAACTTCCAAAGTAAAAATGTCAAGGCTTCAGATGTTGACCACTAAGTTTGAGAATCTAAAAATGATGGAAGATGAAACCATTCATGAGTTTCACATGAACATCTTGGAGATTGCCAACACCTCAGGGGCACTGGGAGAAAAAATGTCAGAAGAAAAACTGGTGAGGAAGATTCTCAGATCCTTGCCTAAAAGATTTGCAATGAAGGTGACTGCCATAGAGGAAGCCCAGGACATTAGCAAGTTGAAAGTGGATGAACTTATTGGGTCTCTTCAGACTTTTGAGATGGGAATCACTAATGATGATGTCAAAAAGAACAAGAGCATAACACTTATGTCCAACACTGATGTTGAAGAAAACATTTCAGAAGCTATAGCCATGCTCGGAAGACAGTTCAACAAACTCATCAAAAGAATAGATCCAAAGTCAAGGTCTAATGTTCATAACATTTCCTCTAACATTGACAGTTCCAGCAGAAGACCAAGGTCAGATGAGAAGGGAGTTCAAGGCAGAGGAATTCAATGCCATGGTTGTGAAGGATATGGGCATATTCGAGCTGAATGTCCTACCTTTCTTAAGAAACAAAAAGGAATGACAGTTACTTGGTCTGATTGTGATTCAGAAAGTAA